CACCTGAACACACTGCTGTAAACACCATCCTATCTGAGCTCTTCACAAGAAACATGCAAAAGTAATAAAACAAAATAACACGGAGACCTTAAAGAACAATGTAGCACAACAACTTTGAACTGAACTTGAACTCTGACACCAGAGCTGCTCTACTGTTAAGCTATGGGTTTGTTGTGCTTCCTCAGGCTTCAGAAGCAAAAAGCCCAAACCATAACCTCCCCTGTTACTTGGTCTCTGACAATAATGACTATGAACAAACATAACGTACTTGAAAATAAATACAAAATAAGGTAAAATCATTGTCCATTAGAATGGATTAAAATGTTTAGATACCATCTGTGAATGTATAACGAGGCGTACATCTTAAAACCTTTCTCCAGCTTACTTGTTGGGGCTTCAGATCGGTGTACATCATTAATTGTTACTTTGCCCAAGCCCTGCAAGCAGCTAGTGTAAAATGGCATTTTCAATAAACTGGAAATGCTTTTCCCCGAATGCTGAAGCTGACATGCAAAGAGCCCATTCTGTCTTTGTCAATATGATTTTTGGTCTGAAAAGTTTGTAACTATAGCAACAAAGTCACCAAGTTGGCAGCAGAGTAACTAGTATCTATGCCTGAGGAGAAGTGACCTAGCAGGGTGGGATCACTGGATAAGATTGGATTTTTTTGTTAAAAGTATCTTCCGATTGCAGAATGAAGGCTGATTCATCGTTGCACCCCCTACTGAACACCACCATGACGTCAAAGCTGGAAACACTGACCCCTTGCTGCCAGCTCTGGTTGAAGGCCTGAGCCTTGTCCATGCCGTTCCTGTTGCCAAAGCCCCCGCTGTTCCTGTTGTTGCCATAGTTGCTGTTCTTCTGCCCAAAGTTTCCACGGCCGCCTCCTCTCTGCTGGAACTGGAGGGAGAGAGAACGAGCAAATCGTCAGCATATCTACGACCGCCTCATGATAACGCCAAGGTAACATTGTGAGGAAGACACCTACGTGGGCGGGGGGCCCCCTGTTGGCGTTGCGGTTCATGTTGCCTCCACCTCTGTTCATCTGACCCCCTCGGCTCATTTGACCTCCTCTGTTCATCTGGCCGCCGCGGTTCATGGGCCCTCCTCGGAGTCCCATGCCGCCCCTCATGGGTCCACCTCTTGGGGATCCGGCCAGGCTGGGGATGGGGCCGCCACCCCGTCCGAAGCTACCGGGCCGGGGAAAGCCACCCCTGAAGGCTGGTGGAGGAAGAAAGCCGCGAGGAGGACGGTTGAAGCCGCCACGTGGGCCAGGGCCTGAGGAGAGCAACAAACCACCGTAAGCCGACATCTAAAACCAGCAAACATCTCCATTCCGGCTGATCCTACCTCCTCTGAAATTGCCTCTGTTCTGGAAGCCTCCACGTCCGCCCCTTTGTCCCTGTCCACTGCGTCCAAACTGATTCTTGCCTCCCCGGCCGCTGCCACGAGGGCCTCCTCCTCCGCTGCCGCCTCTTTTCGGAGTCGTGCTCCCTTGGTTGGGTTTCTTCTCAGCAGGCAGGGCAGTCTTGCTCTCCTCTTTGTACTGCTCCAGCAGCTTGGCAGCATCATCCTTTGGCAGCTCAGCATACGTCACCTCGTTGAAGCTCTCCCCTTCTTCCGGCAGGGCGTAGAACCCTGGAAGGTCAACCAATTGGGATTGGTTAGGAATGGAAGAGGTGCTATTAAGATGAAAAGTGGGTGAAGGAGTTTTACCTTTCATTTTGAGCAGTGCATGCTCAGGCACTTCCTTGCCATCACTCTCAACCTTCTTCTGGACCCTCATCTTGTATTCCTCATCTGTGGGGAAGACGACCACAGCCTTGCGCTGGAACCCAGCAAACAGACACATCTTCCTCTTCTGGCCCGGTGCGGACAAGTTAGTCTGGAAAAAGGAGAAGAAAATTTTAATTTGCTCCTTTAATTTATGCACGGTTCACCAACTCAAATTTTAAATTTTAATACAACTCTAAATGAAATTTAAGACTTCTCCACAGAAATGTATGAACTTTGTCCAGTCAACTGGTGATAAATTTGCATTTATCCATGACATACAAAAAAGGAGCTAGCTAGCAAGCATACACTTTCTATCTAGAAACTAGCTAATAAAACTATAACTAGCTAGAGCATATCCTATAGCTGGCTAGCAAACTATATTTTGCTAGTTGGTAGGCACTCTAGTAACCTATAGTTTTTCAAGATTTTTAGATAAGTTAACTAGAAAGCATACCCCTTCTAGTTGCTCTAGATAGAGAGCTAAACTAATGCTAGCTAGAAAGGGTAAAAGTAATTTTTTTTGTTTTTCCCCTCTTGGCAAAGCTTTTCAGGCAGATTAAATAGTCCTCCAAAGACAAAACTGAATGACTTGTGATTAATGTATTTAAGGTCAACTTACTTTTTAAATATAAATTTAAGACTTTTTAAGCCTTCAACTTGAGTAAATAATTTAAGATATTTTAAGGATAAGCAGACAGCCCAGCTCTGACCAGTCAACTTACATGATCCAGAATGTAGTTCCTCTTCTTGCGAGCAGCGATCTCAATGAATTTGCCCAGGAACAGTGGAGCTCTTTGGGAAATAGCACTCAGCTTGGTGATATCCTTGGACTGGCGTTTCAAACTGTTGATCTGCAGTCGAACGAGGCAAGCAGTGATTAAAATCTCAAAGTGAAGACTGGAGGCAGCATTAGATTTCTGACAGTACTGACCATCATCTTGTCCACAATGGTGTCACTGCTCAGGATGTAGTATTTCCCAGGGTTCTGCTGGACTTGGTTCTTGACCCATGTAGTTTTGCCAGAGCCAGGCAGACCAACCATAACGATGATCTACAAACAAGATGACAGTCAGATGCAAACCAACAGAGTAAATCCTCCCCTGACGGGGTCCTGTACTGACCTCGCAATCGGCCTTAGTCTGGGGTCCCTTCAGCCCCCTCACTCGCTCACTGACAGGGATTTGCTGCAGGAAGGTGTAGCCCTCTGGTGTTGGGAAGTACGGCGTCTCCATCTGGCCAAAATTAAACTCCACAGCGCAGTTGCGACAGATGACATGTGGGAAAAGAGCCTGGCCGTTTAAGCAGTCCTTGAGGACCCTGAAAGCGACGGCTGGTTCCCCACCGTTCTTGGCGAAGGACAGGACCAACTCCTCGCCCTCAAAGTCCTATACAGAAATAAAACGATTTATGGCCAGCAACATTTTTTTCCAATTAATTTAAGACATTTTAAGGCCTTCATTTTAGATGACAAAATTTGGACAAGTATGTGCAGAAACTTGTCACACACCACTTGTTTCTTTTGATTCTACTGATGGACACAGGAAGGGCAGAATAATATTTTTTCATCTTTTGCTCATCTTACAGTTAGCTAAAATGATCACTTGGTCAAAGCTTTGGGAGTGGAAATGGGCCACAATATTCAGCTTGGTGCACCTCTAGAGAATTATGAAATGGTGCATCGACATCATGTTTACATTTCCAACTTATTCCAAACATTCTTGGAAGTGTTGTCTTACAATGAGGCAACAGATGACGTCATTCTCCTCATATGTTTCCCCAAAGTCTTCAGTCACACAGTTGGTGGTCTTCTTCCCTTTGCAGGAGTAACCATAGGAAAACTCTTCCTCACCTGAAGAGTGAGAAAAAAAAAATTATATTATGGTTGCTTGAAAACCACTAGAGGGCAGTGTTCACACCCACTAAAGGTGTTTCTCCCTGATTTAGTGACAACTGGCAACACTGGACAGAAAGTAAGTAATTAAATGAATCAACAAGGGACTGTTAGTGCCAGCCTTTCATCCAGTTGTATTAGTATTAAAATCTAAACAGAACTTTTGAATCAAGCCAATCAGGACTGACCCAGCAGCAGCGTCCCAGTTGACAAGGACCATCCAACCTGAACATCATGGATTTCCAAGTTCTTGCTGGAAATGTGCTTCACTGAAATCTTCTCTGTGAGCTGGAGTCACAAAATCAAAAATTACAAGTTTGTAATACCACACAGCCAGGTGTCTTAAAAGAGCAAAAATAAATAAAAGAAACAGGGTTCGTACATTTCCTCACACCACTTTGGGGAAACAAACAATCCAAGTGAACCAAAGACAGTTACAAATCACTATTATAAAAACATAGCTCATCACAAAGAATGAGTTATAATATTCTTCATAGAAGAGACAACATAAACTAAAATATAACAAAATGTTATATTTTAAAATGTCTTTCACACCTGACTGGTCTAAGAAAAAAAATGAAACAAACAGTAACTTAAAATTTTTTTAAAAATCCCCCAATTTCAATTGTTCAATCCTTCTGCTCAAATTAAATGCTTAAACACAATATATAAAGAAAGTTACAAAAGGAATCTAAAAAAATAGAAATAATTTAATAAAAGAAATAGTTTTGCTCATTCTAACCAACTTAAAACAATAAATGTTTGGTCTGATTTAACTTCAGACGGCAAGGAAAAACTCTATTAGCTGTACAAAAATATCTGGTTTCAACTGAAAAAGTTAGGCTTTTAATCAAACGTTAGATTGCACCAAACTGTGGAGTTTGAATATCCATCACTTTCAATGATTTTATACAGAAATAAAACACTTTCCAAAACCTTAATTACGCTTAAAAATTTCAAGTGTACAAACCCCAGAAAAGGGAGGGAAAAAAAAAAAAAAAAACACACAATGTTGGTAATGATGATAATTATGAACCTTCATCTCAAAGCAAGCTTTGCCAGAGTTCACCCCATAGGTTCCCTTTCCTCCAGACCACAGATAAGCAAAGCTCTCCATGATGAGCGATGAAGCACTGTAGCGGTCACGGGACACCTTAAAGTGCAGGTCACAGTTATCTAGAACAGACAAAAACAAATCAAACCCCATTTATAAATGTGTTAATTGATCTACATGCTGAATGAGAATTGGCGAGATAAAGAGGAGAAAACCTACAGGTGTCCAAGCAGACCTTGGTCTCATCACACTCTTCATCTTCTTCCTCCAGCGGTGGTACGGGAGACTTAAAAGAGGCACTGGAGAAATAAGAGCAGCAAGTCAATTAGAAGACTGGAACTTGACCACAGCTGCAAAGAATTTTCATGATGCAGTCAGGACCGCTTGCTGAGAGATGGTGGGAACAGAAAGTGGGAAGCCAGATGAGAGAGGGCCAAGAAAAGGACATGAACTGGAAAATGAGCCTTTAACCTTTTCTGACAGTGGTCTGTGTTTTAGACCTGGACAGGTAACTTACCTTGGAGCATCCAGCGAATTCTAAAAAATAAATGTGGAGAATACACAAAGAAAAAGCACTGCAGCTGGTCTTATTGAGCAAGGCTGATGGACAAAAGTATTGGTGGCCATCTTGCTTTCAGTTGAGTGCGTTTGTGTCCTTTGGACTGCTGTGGAGACAGCCACAACTCCAGATGTCTAACAGTCATGCTTGGCTTTAGTGCAGGGAGTGTATTTACACACTGATTGCAACTCCTTGACCCATTTAGACAGATTGAGAATGGTTTTAGCTCAAGAACTTATGTACAGACACAACCACGTGTGTTGGTACCACTGGTAAAGATGCAAAAAATTTTTAAAGTAACATCAAATGCTCATTTTTAGAAAAGTCCCAACTTTAGCTTGAGTAAATGTATACAGGGGGAGAGAGGGAGAGAGAGAAAAAAGATTGATATGTGGCAAAGCTGTTCGTTCTCCCTGCTTTGTAGCTGTGAGCCTGTTTTAAAGTTGCAGTCTTATACATTTTCTAGGTACATGGTGCATTTTAATGCTCCATCAAGTAACTATGTTACCTTCAGTTGGTATAAAAACTATATAAATATCAAATACCACTTGTTAACTCATTGAAATTGGGCCTCTGTCTCTTTAAGAAACTCCTGTTCTTTCTGAAACTCCACCCTGAGGAAGTCATCACAACATGGCTCCTCTATTAATCGTGATGAATTGATTACTGAAATAATAGTCAACTAATTTAGTGATTAGTTGTTAACTGGAGTATACAGACTCAAAAAAGAAGCCAAAAACTTAAGTCTGTAAATCTGTTTTACTCAGAACTCAAGTGGTGGTTTTAGTTTTACCTGGTTCAAATTTAGTGGGAAAAAAAACAAAACAAAAAAACTACAGAGTAGAGTAACACCTTTACCAGGAGTACCAACAAAATGGTTCAAGTCAGTAGTAGGAATTGAGGGAGTAATTCAATCTGTGTTGCGGTTTCTAGATTTCTTGATAACCAGAGCTATTTTTTTATTTTTATTTTTTTAATCAGATTCACCCACAAACAGATCTGAATTGTCAACATGTGATGGGGGGAGAAAGTGGAGGCGTCTATATTTGCATTTTCAACACAATGACTTAGATCTCCACAACTGTGTTTGAGGGTGACGACCATATAGCAAACAAAACAAACAAAAAAAACCAAGCTAGCTGTAAGATGTTACAGCAGAAATTGTTGCAGAAATTCTTAGTCCCGCCCCCTAAAACCTCACATCCAATAAATTTTTTTTTTTTTTTAAAGAGTTTCCAGGTGCATTTTCACTTTTGCCCGTTGATCCTTCCGTGTACTGCAGCAGCAGCGCAATGAAAACAAAACAATAAGAAAAGAAAATACACTGACCAGGAAGAGTAGGTATATGTACACACACACACACCCTTACATGCAGGCCATGCGTGATGTCACCTATGAGGGAGGAGGGGTAAAGAGGCCACGCCCATTCACACAGGCAGCCACACCATGAGGACTGACGACAGGATATGATACAGAAATAGCATTTGAACATCATACAGTCAGTGAAATCAAAACAAAAATAGACTACTGCGAGGAAAAAACGATGGACGACCAATAGCGAGCTCCTCCGTGGGAACTGACCTACATCCTTGAGAGCTAGCCCTGTAGCTGTGGACTCCTCATCCCCTCGCCTCTCAGCTAAACCCTGACTTATTTAAAAATTTAACTTAAAGGTATACATCTGATACTTTCACTGGGATCTACGACAGCAGCTTCCTAATACCTTGAGGACACAACGGGCTTTCTAAAAAATAAAAAACAATAAGTGGCATGAGGAACAGATGTGAAAATTCATAGAAGTTATATAGATGCACTTCTGCTACAGAACTGCAGCCACCCTCCCCTCCACCCCTCCCCAAAAAAAAGACAAGACACACTTGTGAGGTGGGCACTGGAAGACAGTAAACGGTAAGGCTCTTTACAGCTTAAGTCAGGGGATAACCCTCAAAATACATGTGTGGAAGAAGTTGTGTAGTTATACTTTTCAATAAAGAAAAAACAACAACAAAAATTAGAGGATTCTGACCTCTTGCTAGAGAAGTGCATTGGCACTTAAAGCCAATACAAGTCAACAAAGCTACGCATGGCGCTTCAGGGATGCCGAAGGCCATATTCGCTCTGTCCCGTCCTTACCAGCTGTATTTGTTCTCTTCAATAAACTCAAAGTAGCCCCTTCCATGTTCCTCCCGGCGTCTCTTAACACCCTTCTTATTCTTCTGATCAGCATTCGTGTCTTTGTCCGCATCCCCTTTGAAAATAGAACAAAGATATAGAATGAGGTGCTCCTTTTTTTTTTCTCTTTTTGAGACAGAGAGAGAGAGGTCGGACTGGCAGTGGGGGTTTTGAGCCCACAAAGCCCGTTCATTAGTTACACTTGTGTCCAACGTAAATCAGCATTGCTTTAAGAAGAGGCGACGCCTCGTGGGATACACTTAAAAACAGCACAATATGTCATGAGTTGGTAACAGTTCTTAAGACCAGGTAGTATTTAGAACATAAACTGGTCCAAAATGGACAATAAAGAGAGGTGTTTACTGGGGCTGGAAAGTTAAAAACAAAGAAAATCTAAATTAAGAAATAACCCTGAGAAACAGGGGGGGAGGGTAAAAATACAAAATGTGTTCTATATTTTAAGAGGGTCTACAGTTATCAGGGATCAATGCATCATGCAAGTAAACCTACCTAGATCTGGATTAACCTTACCTCCCTTGTGTTTTAAACTAACTGATTCTGGTGATCCAGTTTTCTGCACGCCAGAGATGAAACGCGGAAACCAGACGGTTTGGTGTCGCTTCGTTCTTGAAGCGTAGCTTCAGGGTAGCCACTTCAGAAATTCCCAACTCGGTTTGATTCAAAGTCGAGTGTGAGAGGTTGGTTAGAAGGTTGCGAACTTCTGGGAGTAAAGGTGGGGGTCAGTGTGTGATGAACACACACGCCACAAAAGTGGAAGCAGATAAAACAACATGCTTATTTATGAATGAAAATCAACATGTGCACAGACTAGGAATCTGCTCAAAAGTTAAAAACCAGATTTTTTAATTTTTGTGTCGTCTCCAAAATCCAGAATATTCTGGCAGTTTTATGTGTTAGTCTCTTATTAAAAAAACTAATCCGTTCAATTCTATAATATTCAAAAAGATCAGTATTGGGTTACTCTATATTGTGCACAGCTCATTAAAAACTATGATCAGTATTACAGTATTCCACAAATAGATCAATAAAACCATTCGATGATTCAGTTTTGATTTAGTTTAAAATCTCAAAATAAAAAGCAGAAATTTTCTTTACTTTCTTTTTTTACTTAAATGAATTTAATGGCATCAGTACGTTTTCCAAAAGATGTTTTGTCAATATAGGGAGTCCTCCAATTACTAACCAGAATAAAAAGGTTTTTCCAATACTCTGATAAAGTTTTTATCTTTTAGAAAACTGAAAAAAGTATGGAAACTGACTTAAATTTTCAATACTGCCTGAGTGGCACCACACTTTTACATAACTTCTACATTATCTTTATAACTTTGTGAAGTATTCAGATACTTCAGACACTCGGAAATAATTTTGTTTTAGCTTTGATGTTTAATTCCTTGATATCCAAGCCTTGAAAAACCACCTTACAGCAGATGGAGACTAATAAGCTTTGCTCCATTTAAAACAAGTAGTGGTTGTCTAGTCATATAGATCTGCAGTTTTACACATGCACACCTTTAAGTGTGCCACTTTAGAAGCAGTACACTCATAATTATCCAACATAAAAGTAAAAATTGTGTGGAATAAAAACAGCGAGACGAATATGGGCAGTATGAGAAAAGGAGGTAAATCTGACTCTCGCTTCAGAAGAGCAGAAGTTGGCAACCCAACAGAAATAGGAAAGTCTATTTCACAAACAACGTGAAATAAGTTAAAAGTCTACATTAAGCCAATTCACATTAATTTTAACCCAAAGCTCCCATTTATTGCTAAACATCATGGTTGGGAATCTCTGAAATGGCTAACAGGCTTAGCTTACCGCCAGACACAAAGAGAATGACGCTTACTAGCATGCTAACTCCTACCGAAAACGAAACAAAAAGTAGTAAACAGTTACTAATTTCTCGGTAGTCATTGAATGTCTAAACGTTGGTAAAATATTTTAGATAACACAACCCAAAAAGAAAAAACGTAACTTATGCTTTGGGAACGTCAGCCACGTCGAGATATTACGCGCCATAAAATAAGCTAACCAAGGATGCTAGCTTGCTAAGTGTTAGCGTCGACCGCGGCCTAGCGGGGCTCACGCTGTGACTCAACATGGACGCTGAGCGCTGAACGCTTTCAAATCTAACCGGCCCCATCCCTTCATCGAAAAAAAAAAAAAAAAAAAAACCGGCATCCAACCACGGCCCATACAACCAGGCATTTTCCTGAGCAACTCTCTGTAACTCACCCTCTGCAGCGTTGTCTCCGGGCTCACCATCTTCGATTTTTTCCATGTCGTCCACATCCGCCTTCAGCATGGGATCCATTTCATCGTCCTCGTCCCCGTCCCCTCCGTCTTCTCCCTCACCCATTTCTTCGTCCTCGGCAACGCCGTTGCCGTCGTCCTCATTCTCTGCTTCTTCCTCGTTGGCTTCCATGCTCTCCTCTACTGGGCCTTCACCTTCGCCTTCCTCTTCTTCTCCCATTCCCTCTTGGTCAACAGACTGGTCGAACCCATCATCTACCGAGCCTTCCTGAGCCGCCGAGGTGTCCCCGGCGAGGGCCTCTTCGTCCAGCGCGGCCTGCAGGCGATCCATCAGCTCGGCCTTCAGCCCCTTGTCCGAGAGATTTCGCTTTTTCAGCTCGTCCTTCAGCTCGTTAACTTTGAGCTTCTTCACGTTAATGGTGCTCATTTTTATTGGGAAACGACAAAAGGTTAAAATTCGGTAATTAATAAATAATATGTCGCCCTTAGTTAATAAATGTAGCTCAAAGCCACGCCAAATGTCACCGGCTGTACAACCAATATCTCAACGGCAGAGAGCTGTGCCGAGTCTGCGCCAGAATGAGGAGGAGGGAGGCGATGACTACCGTAACTACACAGAGAGCAGCGCAGCTTGATATACAACTATCTGTCGCTCTCTTTGTAAGAGATCAACCCTTTCGCAAATAGATTGGTGTGGAAAAAGCAAGTCAACATATGGTCCACACAAAGAGAAATAATTGTTTTAAAAAACATCAAATTAATAATGTTTTTATTACATCCAATCAATTCTGGTTGGATTTTACCATAAGGAAGTATTACCTAGTATTACCACAAGAACAGCAACAAACTAATACATTTCAAAACCACTTAAACGCCATACTATCATTCTATAGGCCATTGCCTTTTGAAGATTTCAGAAATCAAAGACAATCTATAGGTCTCTAGAGAATAAACAAAAACAGTTGAAAGTTGCCACACGAAAGGCAATTTTGAAAAAAAATATAATTTTGTGCTTGTTTATTTAATAAGCATTACAGTACAATTTTGAGGTAAGGCCCCATATTCTATGGAGAGAAAATAGTCTCAAAATACCTGTGAGTAATACTGGATTTGTAATCCGTGTAAGCTGCTTTGTGTGTAATTTTGGATAGTTATATCTGTGAAACATAATTTATGAACTGTTAAAAAAGACTGTACATATCTCCAGGTACTTTTAAATATGTGGTCAAAAGCACACAAACTATTACATTGTGAGTACAAAATAAAAGTACATACATACACAATTTCTATAAACATTACAATTCTACACACAGATTTTCTTTAACTTCAGCCTCACAAATCTGATAATTACAAATTCAAACCTTCTACACCTACAAATTATTAAATATGTACAGACAAAACTAAACTTACGTACAGATCAGGTTACAAGTGCACGAGGATTTTTGAGACTTATTTCAGCTTCCAGGGAACGTAAGTGATGCGTTTAAATGCTGGTGGAAATCGAGTCATCTGAGTTTTGTTCAGAGTCTAGTAGTTTTATCCTCTGAACGTTTGTCGCTGTACTTGTGCTGAAGTGGCAAATATGTTTTATCTGTGGAAAACGGAATACCTCACCACTCCTTTTCAAAACTTACGATTTTTTTATGGACATATAGGGCTTTCTCATTTACTTGCATACAGTGCAGTATGTGAACATTACTTGTGGCGAGGTGGTTCGCAGTGTCTTTACTTTAAAACTATTTTTATGACCATTTGTTGAAAGTCAGTCACAAACATATACCTGTAGTGTGACCACTGCTATATGGCAGAAAAAAGTGTGTCACATGATATTAACAGAGGCATCATTCAGTTGATATTGTAGAAAGAACATGACAAAAGTGTTTCCTGAATTAACTTTAATGTACACCACACCTCACTGCACACAAAGGGCAGATGGAATATTTAAGATGGCCCCTAATCTGTCGAATCTTTAACAAAATAGGCTCAAAGATTTACATGGGTGGTTGCACAGCTACCCAAAGTTAACCGTTAAATGTAAAAGCTCCTTTTAATCGAGTTGGAGAGAGTGAATAAAAGCGCACGCCGCACTGCTTAGATTTTTATTAGTTAAAAAAAGTAGCTACCTATTTCCGCATCATGTTTCCAGCTGCTTGTTTTTAACGCCGCATGTCTGCTCCAGTGTTTGTCTACGATGCTTGCTCTTTACCGCCCCCCCGAGGCCTTTACCTGAACAGCAAGGTGAAAGGGAAAAGCGCTCCTCTCCTCTCTCGCGCGCTCACTCCTTTTCCACCGCACTGCCGTCATCACACGCCAACCTTCTTCATTTGGCGTCTCCAACCGGTCGACTTTGGCAAAGTTTTTTCACCCCAAAACTAACATGAGTCAGCAGCGTTTGTTTTTGACGTTCGGAGGTTTGTCCGGGTTAATTAAAAATTCGGCCCGCCTTTGTTGGAAAATCTTTTTAAATATTAACAAGTTATGTCCTCTGTGACTGGAAGAGGGGAGAAATTTCCTGCCGCCATCCGAGGAGCGCACTGGGTAAATGTGATTTATTTATGGTTGGGAAACATAAAAAAACCTGAAGCTGCGAGGTTGATGAATTTCTTTCTTTTGTTTTTCTTTATTTTTATTTTTTTAAAGATAAGGTTGCACTTGGGGGAAAAAAATCATTAGGGTGTGGTTACAGTTGCCCACGTCGATTGATATCTAATTTGCCTCTCTGCCAATGCCCACATTCATCCTCTTTATGGTGATTTATTTCTCATAGAACCCAGAAGTGCAGCATCACTGTGACTCCGGCGGTTTTTCTTCGTTCGGCAGCCGGACACGGTGCCAACCGGAGGAGCGCCCCACTCCCGAGGGCTCCGGGGGGCCCACCAGGGACGACCCGCACGGGAATATGTGCCAGAGAGCGAACGAGGTCCCGTCCTACAAGTCCCTGCCAGGGTCGCTCGGGGAGCGGATAAGGATGTCGTTCGGAAGCGGGACGGTGTGCAGGGGCTCTGCCTTGGCGTTGCATCCCGGCTCTGGGAGGTCCGAGAGGAAAGTTGCCTCCTGCGACAAGTGCTCCGCGGCTCTTGTTGCTCTGAAGAAGCAGGCTCTGAGCCTGGCCGTCCACCATCACTTCTCCTCCAAGGTCAGTGAATGAGGCTGTAGTGGATTAGCAGCGCATTATGCCGTCAGACTACAAAAAGATAAAAATGACGATAAATTATAATAGTTTTAAAGGACATCAGTCACCTATAGGTACTCTTTTACTCACATACCCTGAGTAAAGTAAAGGAACCCAGCATGCCTAGGTGGGCCCCAAATGGGGGAAAGGTGGGCAGACATATGGGTCCCATATGGATTTGTCCGCGGGTTCCACAGTGGTCCCACATGGGTTTGCCCATGTAGGACCACAGCCTATGTGGGCCCTAAATGGGCAAACCCATGTGGGCCCACCACCATGTAGGGCCCATGTAGGGCCCATGGGGCTGTGGCCCTACATGGGCAAACCCATGTGGGCCCACCAACATGTAGGGCCCATGTGGGCTGTGGCCCTACATGGGCAAACCTATGTGGGGCCACAGTGGAACCCGCAGACAAACTCATATGGGACCCATCTGGTCTGCCCTCCTTTTCCCCATATGGGGCCCACCTGGGCATGCTGGCAGGGATAATGGCCATTTAATAATAACATTAATCCCTGTCGCTAACAAAATGAATTTTGTCAATATTTTGCCATCACGTGGAAAAATCTATATGTATCAGAAGTGGGTGCTTCTAATCAGTCTAAATAAACAAAATATATTGATTTACATGCTTGTGATATAGTGATACCAGCACTTTAAAAATGAGTTTAAAAAAATTAATTTTCTTCCAATAATTTTGTTTTCTATATAATGTTCAATAATGGTTGATTCTATAAACATTTCATTTGGATTAAGTTCTCTTCATATATGATTCAGTTTTAATCCTTACACCTTAGTTGCGGTTGTCAGGTAAAATGTTGAAATTAAAAAGATTAGTGGTATTTTGGTAATTTTTCATGGTTTAATCATAAGCTGATGCAGATTTCTTTGTTCATTTGGAAAAGAAAGGAGTGAAATTATCTTCAGTATTTGTCTCAAAGCAAATTGCTTTAAAAAGTGGCAGGAATTGCCACTTTTTAAAGAAATTTAAGAAAGATGATAAACCTTAAAGGTTTCTATTTGGGAAATATTGATTAAAATCTGCTCAAATAAGACGATTCCACCAGTTTTATTGGCTAAATTCAAACTGTCTTATCAAACGACAAACAGTCACACCTATAACGCTGCCAGTATAATGTAAATATTTGATGGCTTTCTTTGTCTTCATCTGTGGTTCATTGAAATGAAATGCATAACTTGAAAATAAAAAGCAATATTTACTTCTGATATGATTAGCTTTTCAACAAAAACGTAATCTATTAATTTTAAGAAAACTGAAAGCAATTCTTTGGTTGCAGAAGTGAGATAAAGTGAGAAGTGCTGACCCTCTTTACACACTTTCTGTCACTCATTCGAAGGCTGTTAACTAGCGTTTTAAAGCTCATGTGGCCACATCAGTCTCACCGTCTCGTCGCCTCTTAGAGGAATGCATGTCTGTGTGTTCGGCTTGGTCACCATCCATCACTCAGACCCTAACTCACCAAGTAAACCCACGACATTCCTGCGTGAGTGCTTTCAGATGGACATGAATATTTCATGGCGACATCTCTGTGTCATCTTTGGCCTTCCCCCCGCTGAGGAAAGGCTATTTATTTTTGTCCTCTTAAGTGGGATGCTGGTCCTGAGGTTTTGGGGAGAGAGGGCGGGAGCGTGCGGCCATCGACATGTTGGGTAGAAACCCGATAAGCCTGTTAGCTCCTTCCAGGCTTATTGATCTAGACTGTGACTTCTCAAAAGCATCACGGCTCTATGATATCATCTTTTTTTTTTTTTTAATGGGCTGGCAAAGATGGGAAGCACAGTCACTGGAGTGGTTTAGCTTTTTATCTTGGGATATTATTGTTCCAACTAACTAATGGTTCTCTTTCTTACAGTTACCAGGTTATGCCACTTGGTAGATTCCACTGAAATCACAGAGTTAATGTTGAATAGAGGCACAGGTTGCTCTGGGATTGACCAAATTTAATAGTTCAAATGTGTTTTTGTTAATGGTGGGATTCGATTAAAGTTTTTCATTAAGTTAATTGCAGGGTTTGTTATTAATTTATCAAAATTAATCGCATTTTAAGTAAAAAAACCCCCAAACATATAGAATAAATAGACATATGAGCTCAAAAAGAAAAATGTTTGTTTTTAATCTGTTATTCAGATTATTTAGCCATCAGAATGGTGTAAAGTACTATTTTATATTTAGCTTTCAAGTGTTTCAGGAACACTTAAAAGCTAACATGGAAGTTAGCCTTCAACTGAAATTCATGGCATCTCGTTCTGTCTGATTATTTCAACTAAAAATCTAAGAACTAGGAGTGTCTCAGAGTTCCATACTGTGCTACGCCAACACGTTACTCACATCAGGATACTGGATGCTTGAAACTGAAGCTGAAATTCATGGCATCTTGTTCTGCCTGATGATTTCAACAAAAAATTTAAAAACTTGGAGTCATTCAGCGTTTCGTACTGTGCTATGCCAACGTGTTACTCACATCGGGATGCTGGATGCTTGAAACAAAACTGAAATTAATGGTTTCTTGTTCTCCTTGATTATTTCAACTAAAAATCTAAGAACTTGGAGTCACTCAAAAAGCCTTGACATTCAAACTGACTCTTGACCATGAAAAAAATGAAATTAAACAATAATGTCAGGAAAATTGAAGTGTAACAACACCTTCAGTTTCACACAATTGATTTAAGTATAAGGGAACTATTCAGAACAGTGCTCTGTGAAATATTCAAAGCTTGGGAGATTTATTTAGAAGCTAACCTTGCTTTGAACGTCTCCACAACTTTCTCTCTGTTTACTACGTAAGTGTCTTCTGAAAACATTAAGGCTTCTCTGGATTTTCTTTAGGGGTATCAACGCAAAGTTGATTAAATACAAATGCACACCTCAGTTCTCATATTTTTACCAGTTTAAAAAACAATTGTGTATAATTTTCGTTCCACGTCGCAATTATCATATAAAATACTAGAGATACTCACAGAAGTTTGCAGTTGTGAGGTGACAGGACGTTCAAAAAAATGCGTTTGTCAGGATGAAAAGTGAGATGATTGTAGAGTATGTGGTTGTTAGCTTTGACAGGTGTTGCATAGGCTCACATCTCACTTGTCAACAGCAGTTTTTTATTTGACACTTTGAGTTGATGAGCCGCACTGTTTAATGGCCGTCTGTACTCGGAGGGGAGGGCGTTCAAAAACATGTTTGATTTTGTTTCAGTGCAGACAGGCAAGTATGTAGTCATGCAAAATGTAATACTGAGTGACTGCTCATCTCACTCAAAGACACAGATATAGACACATTGTTTGCCTGTTTATCTCCGCAGTATTTCAGATCACCTTAACTATAATCAATGCTGATTCAATCACTTTTTTTATGATGCCATAAAGTAGTCTAGGGTGTGGTGTAGCGACAATTCTACTCCTTTTTGATGTGTTGGTTTTATGCCCCCTTTACTAAAGGTGGTCAAACTTTTCTCACTGCATCTTATTCATGTTGTTATATAAATTTGTTATAAAAGAATTACTGATTGCACTTTAAAAATTAGGTATCTTTATGTTATTAAAGGTAAAGTTTAAACAGTAATGATTTCTTGGTTAATGTCAAGTTGTCATAACAAAGACATTTTGAATAATGTCAACTTTGTATTAAAAGTGTCACAATTTACCTAATGACGGTTTGTGACAACAGTCATAAATATTCATGAAGGCTTATTCATGTTCATGACAGGTGTTTTTTATATATATATATATATATATATATATATATATATATATATATATATATATATATATATATATATATATATA